TCGAATTGCAATCCCCATCTGACGCACAAAACAACTAACACACTTTGAGAGTGACCACCTCTCAGTCCAAGTTCTCAACTTAAACAACCGTGCGATATGAGTATTTTAAGACACCGATTTTGTTCTATTCTACCATGAGTAAAAACGTAAGTTTTGCGTTTTAGACTATGTAGTGTTCAGGGAGGCTTACTAAACGCAATGTTGTGAATGTTGTACCTGTATTTATGATATCAGTATTTTTAAGAGCTGTGTGATTCCAGTATAGTCAGCACCTATTAGAAATGACCCATCAAAACAAACAAGAGCGGGCGACGTTCAAATTCTTGCGTTGATTTTGTCCACCTAGCCTCAAATGCCTGTGCAGGTAGAGACAAGCGGAAAGAGGCGACAGTCAGGCTCTCGCGTTTGTATTGACCTCAGGCTTTGGTCAGGTTTTATTCGTTACAATCATTTGGAAAACCCTGATCCATCCAAGCAATTGTGCCAACAGGCTCCTGAAAATTTCAAGCAAAGCACAGCTATCTGCTGGAACAGCTGTGGAGGATTTTGGGGAATATTATTTATTAAACGCACCACCCCTACTTTTACATTCTTATAATATGAACAAGCATAACATATTTATATAAATTGTTGATTGTGTCTAAAAGCAAATTCCTGAAGTCACCATACCTGCCATAGGATTTCAAAGTGTATCTTATTTGCAGGCTTTCGAAGAACTAGAGGATCTGTTAGCGAAGTACAACATATGCATCGCTGTTAAAGAAAAGCTCGTTAAAGATTCTGGTGTGGCAGGAGAAGCAGCATACGACAGCATCGTGCAGAAGTTACTGACTAAACCAAGAGCTAGAGGTAAGGTATATTGTTTATCATCATGAAGCCAATAAGCAGAAATACTGTAAGTATTAGTCGGGTTACCTATCCGTTTTTTTTTCTGCTCGAGTCCACTTTTTCACATATGCGGGTGCGGCAGAGAGGATGGACGGTTTTTAAAAAAATCATAAAATAGTTAATTTTTACTCGAAAACAAATTTATTGATGGAATCAGGTTCACAAGGAAATAGCATTTGAGACAGTCAAGTGTGGCAAATCACATCAGGCATGTGGTGGCCGAAATCGTTGATGCAGTGCTGGAAGTTCGCGTAGACTCTCTCCAACATCGCTTTCTCAACTTGGGCGACTTCCACGCGAATTTCGCCCTTCAATTCGTCCAGAGTTCGGGGCTTGTTCGCGTATACTCTAGCCTTTAGGTGTCCCCATAAGAAAAAATCGCATATGGATAAATCTGGGGACCGAGGAGGCCAATGAACATCGCCAAACCTGGATAATAAGGCGACCAGGGGAGAGAGGGCGAATAACGTCCATGGATGCTCGGGCTGTGTGGGCGGACCTGCTGGTGATCATGTCGATGTAGTGCTCTGAGTTCACGGTAACATCACGACCATTACCGTCTTCGAAGAAGTAAGGGCCAATGATGCAAGTTTGCGATACAGCGCACCAAACCGTTACTTTTGGGCTGTGCAGCGGTCTTTCGAGTAACTGTTGCGGATTTTCATTAGCCCAATAACGACAATTCTGCTGGTTAACCATGCTGTTTAGGTGAAAGTGGGCTTCGTCACTCATAGGCGAAAACGCGGTGCTCCACCGTCCAAGGCTCCATAACGACAACTGGCAAAATAATGCTAGGATCTCACGAGTCTAACGGCACCCTCCCCACATCTCTCGTAGACGGAGGCGGAGAGTACTACCCATCCCAAAAACGTCCGTCCTCTCTGCCGCACCCTGTATAATAGCCGAACATTTATTTGTTTGTTTTTTAAATTTTTAGGAGAGACTGTAATTAATTTTGGTGGTTCTGAATTTAATCTAAGATTGTGAATTCTTGCATATTTGTCAACAGATCTCAAATTTTCTTGATTTGAGCCTCAGCATTTTTTGTATTGTCAGGATGAATACTGCAGTGTTTAACTACCTTATCAAGATCGGAGATATGGGTATACAAGTATTTTTTGATACCGTTTCATTATATTTATACATAGCAAGCAACCACAAAATTGTGTTATTTTTGAATTTCCGAAAACAATAGCTGCTCCGATGTTTCTTTGGCATATCTGAGTCTTTACAATATTAATTGTAAAGAGCTATACCACGGCATTCTTTAGAGTCAGTATGGACCGCTTTTTGTAGGTGGCGCCCTAGACATGGGCACAAAGTGTTCACCAAATTCGAGATATTTCTTTGCGTACATGTGATTTTACCTATTGTGAGCTTACGGTATATTTCGTGGGCTGAGGAAAAGTAACAATGTGTTTTCGGCTCAAGACCCAAATGTTACATTACCGGATATGGCGTTTTACACAAAGATGTAGATGTATTGCCTCAGAGCAGCGACGGGAAATGATTAAATTTTGTGAACGTGTCTGGCTAAATGGGATTAATTTTTCTCATTTAAAGGGAAGCAGATCTACACGCCCGCCCTTCGTGACGAACTGACAAACCCTTTTGAAGATCCATTACCTAATTAAATGTCGGCAAAGGTCTGCTAAGCATTCATTTAAAAAAGATATGTGTATTATTCATGCTTATCCGCCTTCATCAGATCCACCACCCTGGATTTTTCCTGGTTTTGGACTTGGGAACAAATTACTGCATGATTTACTATCAACATATTTGAAGCGCATTACCTGACGGTAATTAGAGGGCTCTGGCATTATGAAAGTTTTTTATACTAAAGTAGCACCAAAGGTAGAACTACCAGCAATGTTAGCCCGGCGTTCCCTTTGATCATGGTGTTGCCAACTATTTGAGAACTATCCTACCAAAAACCATGGACGCCCGCAGGAGTGTTTCTTGAGAGGGCCAGCACAAACATAGGAATCAGCTCCCGAAATTAGTTGAAAAGCATAGAATAGCTTTCACAGATGTTGTGGGAATGTCTAACCCTTCAAAACTTTCTGAAGGAAGGAAGTAATTTTTATATGGGACTGGCAAGTCTTGAAGATCCTACTTGATTTACGGGAAATGTACTTTCTCATATGTATTAGTTACATGTTACATTAAATAATACTAACTAATTGCCAATCATCCCGTGAGAGAAAAATGGCATCAAATAGGTAGCCATTACACTTCCTACGAAACAATATCATCAGTTCAGAAATGACGCTTTCGTTCAATGTCCACCTAGACCAGGGTTTCCCAACCTTTCTTCTATTGAGGCTCCCTGGACTATACATTTTATTTTCACGCCACCCTTTACTTTTTCAATACATACGAAAACGCACATTATATAGGTACAAAGACTTTTACTTTAATTCTGATAAAGAAGCTTTAAAATTTTAAATAAAATAATAAATGTTTCTTATAGAAAAACATGAATAAAGTAAGAGTAGGTACAAATGTACAATTGCATGTTCTGTACCGGTTGGTTGATTCTAGGTTCTCTTGTTGCCGGAGCTATCATCAGGTCGCTATCGACATCAAGACGATTTCGCTGTTTAGTTTTAATTAAAAATAGGGCAGAAATGCCTGTCTCACATAAGTAACTTCAAGAAAAAGGAACTAGTATTCGTAAAGTAAGAGAGGCAAGTGTCCAATTAACAGGAAACCTTTTGTTCCAAAATTTCTACGATGTTAAAAGAATGAAGTCATCTTTCATGGACGAATCAGGCTTCATTTGTAGAAATTCTTACTGAACTTCTTCGGGTAATTGTAACACATTGATAACAAATGGATTTCTTGTCATGTGCCCTACTGGTGACTCGATAGTATCTGCGAAATTCGTCTTCCAGCGCTTGCAAATGAGTGTTCATTTCAGCTTTTAAATTTTTGTCCAATATTTTATTTTTAAATGCTTTGAACAGCCGAGAAAAAGATAACATTTTCAGAAGACACTGTTTGATTCCAAAGTTGAAGCTTTGATATGAACCGCTGAATATAATCATAATTGCTTATTATAATGTTGTTTCTGCCCTGAAGTTTCAAGTTTAGCTCATTCAAGGAGTCACATACGTCAGTTGAATAAGCCAACCTCCATTGAATTGTGTCATCTTTGGACATGTCAAGAAATTAAACTCAGGAAAAAGAATTACCTCTTCTTTCAATTCATAAAGGCGACCCAACATGTTTCCTTTGGACAGCCAGCGTACTTCTGTATGGAACAGAAGAACTTTGTGGAATACAGATCCTCGCAAAGTACAGTAAATAACCGACTGTTCAAAGCGCTGCTCTTGATGTAGTTTACAATCCTTATAGCCGATTCCAAAGTCTGGCGTAATTTCTGTGGCAATGGTTTTGAAGCCAAAGTTTGCCGATGAATAACACAATGTGTACTAACCATTGCGGGATTTTATTCCTTGAGCTTTTTAGCTAAGCCCGATCGTACACCTATCATTGTAGGTGTGCCACCTGTGCAAAGTCCAATGAGTTTATTTCATTCCAAACCATTTTTTTCAACAAAATTTGATATTGAATTAAATATATCTTCAGATGTAGTAACTGCTGACAAAGATTGGGAGTACAAAATCTGTTCTTGAATGATATCTCCGCCGATGTAACGAACATAAACTATTAACTGTGCACAATTAACGATGTCGGTGGATTCATAGCAACTAGTGGCAAAAATGGCGATAATTTTACTTTGTTAATTATTTGTCACTTTATGTCTGCATCAATGTTATCGATTCTACGCTTGACTATGTTATTCGAAACAGAAATAGACTTCATTTTTTGCTCTGCATCTTCTCCTAAAATTATCTGCGTGGCTTTTAGGACACATGGTTTTATTAATTCCTCGCCGATTGTATGAGGTTTCTTTTGCTTTGCTACACACAAAAAACAGTGCTATTGAGTCAAGAGCATGAGATTCTATGAAATTATAATATTGGTTTGAGATCACAGATTCTTCAAGTGAGGTAATTTTGTTGTTTTAATGAAACGTAGCACTTACAATTGAGAAATTGACTTTATTTGAAAGACATATATCTTACAAACATATAGAAGTCACGGTTGCTTAATTGAAGATAGTTGTTCTTGAACCAAGATCATTCCTTTTTGTATGTACCATAAAAGCTATTTCAAAGGAAGCTTTTAGATGCAGCGCTACACCTGTGTGATAACTTCCCGATTTATCCACTCTCATCCGCTTGAGTGATTCTTCTTTAGAAGAAAAAAACTCTTTCGTCTTCCAAACCAGAGTAGGATGTTGTTGCTTCAAATGCCTTTCAAGGCGATTGGGCCTCATGCTATCATTACTTACAACTTTCATACATATCACACACTGAGGCAATTTTAACTAGTCGGTTTCTATGAAGGTAAATCCAAACTCAACGTAATCTTCTTTCTTTTTTTGCTGCCATTTTGCACCTATAACAATAAAACAAATACATATGAATACAAAATAAATAAATAAGCAAAATACCTACATGTAATTGTTAATTATATGCCCATTATTTTATCTTAATAGCGTAACAGTATATTGGCCATCGGGAGATTTATAATTTGTAGGCAGGTTGACGTTATAATAGTAATTTTAAATACATTTGGAATCAGTATTAGGTAAAAAGGCCCAATGGCCGATCTATGAACGCGTCTCCACTCAATCAACAATTTAGTAATTTAAACAAAAATGGTAACCGAAGTTTGTAAATACACAAAATTAACCTTTAACAGTGAGACTCAATAATTTGACACACTCAAACAGATTTCTCAATAAAAATTGTACATCGAAACGTCAAATGTTTCGCAAGTTTGTGGGAATGAATGTGACAGATGCTCATCCGTGTCAGGTAGGTACACAATTGTTTTCTAAGTGATGAATGTTAAGCGGAGCGCGGCGGGGGTGCGAGCGGATTTCACGTTGTGCCTTGTCGAAACTTATAAACGTATAAGCTGCGATTGACGACACCGGGCTCTGAAACAGCGGTTGATAGAATATGTGAATATGATATTTAATTTCTAATTTTATGCATGTAAATTAAACATTATATTGTAATGTTATTCGTTAATGTTGTTTGTTTATTTTTTTGGTTCGCTGGCTTTGAACTCGTGACCAAGACCAAACCTATTTCATACTGACGAGTTCTCAAATAGCACGAAATAGCTATTTACGGTTGGCCGTTTGTCGTCAAGCGAACGAAAGCTACATTTCTAGCTAACCGGCATCTAGTTTGAAGATATAGCTTGCCGATTTTTTATTATTAAAGGATTTTGGGAGCACGCTCGGACTGACATTCATGGGAAAAATTCCTGCGGGAGCCACCAATAGTAATTGGTAGTTTAGGTATAGCATTGATGACGCCTGTCACTGTTCACATACACGTATGTATACCGTGCCTGTGGAATCTAGAAGGGTATAGGATGTTACAATATAATATAAATATTATCACATCCAACAACTGCTTCCAATTCAGCAAACAGCAGTTGAATCGAAAAGAAAATATATAGAGTTTCACATCAATCTGTCATATCCAATAAGGCTTTATTTGTAAAGCTTCACTGAAAGGTCGCGCTCTAGCTTCCCAATGCAGTTGATTTTATTATTGTTGACAATCATGGCCTCCTGCTGAGCACACCACGTGAAAGTAAGTGGATTTTTTCCAGAGCGCGCGAAGACATAAAAACAAGCCTACCATCCTCCTAAAGCGAGCACTAGAACAGGATGATCCATAAACGCATTAGTACACGTTTACAGAAAGCCTAAGGAGTCGGGCACAATAATATTAATTTGCAACCTAGTGAACAAATTTCTAGACTGCATAATACATATTCAACCAGATAGTACTTATACAGGGTGACTTCGAAGTTGAGTCATTTATTTTAACAGTGAGTAGATCTGATAAAAAGAAATGTTTTTTTCCTTTACCATTTTTCTGGTAAAATTAAAGTAACAAAGTTATAGCCCTTTGGAAGTTTGAGTACCGCCCTGTCTCAATAATAATATTATGTGCTCGTGTTTGGCGACAACGGATATAATCCGCCTTATCGGTTCATCGCATCGGAAACAAAAAAGCGAAAGAATTTGGAACGATGTTTTTACATTTATTTTATTCAGTTGTATACAGTCAGTGTCAGTCGGTAACGCGTGAGTGAATAGTGGTGTCTGTTGCGTGGCTAAAACGAAATAAAAAATGGCACATGTTTATGCAGATCGGTTTCCCAATCGAGTGCAACCAACCCCTCGTGCCTTTGTTAATGTAGTACAACGGGCTCGTGAATCAGGTGACTTAAGACCTCACAGGGGACGGCATGCCGGTGCTCCAAGACCTTACGATCAAATACAGGTCCGCACTGAAATACTTGTCGGGAGGATACTTTATAAAACAAGGTAACATTTTTTTTTATTTTTTTTTTATTTTTACACACATATTTTGGTTTATCTTCCTTCTACAATCATTATCTGAAAATTAATGACTCAACTTCAAAGTCATAAAATGTAAGCAATACGCGGCTTATAATGGATATATAGTAAGTCTTAGTCAGCTAAAAAGTAATAGTAGCATATCAACACTGCATAGTAAACTGGTCTTTTTCTTATCGTAGATTTATCCTAGAGCATACAATTCTTGATAATATTGTAACGAAAACACCGTTTTTACTGTCCATATCTAATTTATAACCACACCTATATGTGTATATATTGTTTAGTCGATTGCTATTAATTGTTGTATGTTTCCTTTTGTATGTGTTCCTGCGCTGTGAGGTTAAGTGGTAGAGCAGCCAGCTGGCTAAACTTCGCCTAGCAGTGTGTATGGATCAATAAAGACATTATTATTATTATTATTATTAGTATTATTATTATTACCTGCAACCATTATGACAAATTCGTAACCATAACCACCGGACTATATCATGTTGACTCATCAGTCACTGTCCGTTGACTGTACTACTTCTGCCATCTGTTCTTCAAAGGATGAACTCCGCATCTCTAAATAGAGCTCAATTCTTCTTGGAATCTTGTAGACAGCGGTCGATTCCTTTTGAAGCATGTCGAATGTTCGCGATGGCTTTGCGAACCGTCCTAGACGCGAACACGCTCCATACACGGTTTCGTACTATTGGTTGCCTAAAGTTGCAAGGGCATCTCATCGGTACCCCAAAGTTGTAGTTTATGAGGGCGCTAATATAAATACACACTGGTCCTAACTGGTCGGCTAGGCACACTAGTTGCAAAGACTCATTCACACCTTTAAAATTTTAACCTTGCCATGTGAGTATATTCTAAATATATTAATCCGTGTTAAAAGAGTCTTGAGCAAGTTCAGTACTATAAACGCTGGTGCGCACTTTGCAAGAAACAGTCAAGTGTTGGCGAGAACGGAGAACAGTCCTAGATACATGGCTGATAAGCTTCTCAACCGAGTCTCCAACGATTTAAAATCACAGCCACTGAATATTTTCAGAAAAACAATTAGGGAAATTTTACTGGAAAAAGATTTTAATAATTGTTATTTTTTTATTATTTGTCGTCTTATTACCAGTCGATTTTTGATTGCTTGTCCTTTATTCCATCTTTTTATATATACTTTTACATTTTTTATATTAATAATAGTCTTGATTCGACAATACTAGTAATAGATATACGAATTTGAGCGTAAATTAGCATTGTGATGTTTTGCCTTATCCTATAGCACATCTGTGATCAAACAGGACTAACAAAGTATCATTATTACTATATTTATGTCAATATCCCCTAACAGCTTTTAAAAGTAAATTGGATCGGGTATATACATTTTTACTCTTTCAAATTACTCGTGGATACTGATTTTTCTGAACCTTTGGCCTTCAGACTCTTTTGGCCGAAGGCTGAAGCTAAAATTTGGGTTGGATCTTATGGGAGATGGTCGGTAAGGCGATGAAAAATGTTATGAAAAAGCAGATGCCTAGAGCGACAAAGATACTCTGTTTCACAATTAATGTGGAGAATAAGGAAATATAGAATGTATACTGAGTGGCAAGAAAGTTAAGCACCCACGTATGTTTATCCGATTTCAACATTTTTTCGCATATAAATTCAGTGTCCCTTACTAGTAAAATGATTAAATTTTCAGCTTGATTCGTCAACTGACTGCAGAAGCTGGTTCAATAAAGTGTTTAGGATCCACGATTTCTTATACACTAATTGACATATCTGGGCATCGTGCTGAGCAGGTGGTCGATACCCTTATTCCAGGCTACTGCAACTTCATGAGTAAAAGCTGCTAAACTCTGTTGCGGGTATTGCAAATTCAAGAGCCTGCGACCTATCATGACCCAGACATGTTCAATTGGAGATAGGTCAAGCGATCGTGGTGGACAAGGTAAACGGTTGCAATGTTGATCCATGAAGGCTAACGATGCTCTGGCAACATGCGGTCTTGAAATTGTCTTGCAGCAAGATGGGGTTTTGGATGGTGTTTAAATATGGAATAAGATGAGGCTCCACTACTTCCTGAATATAGCGTCGGGCTGTCATATTGCCTCTGATGGAAATTAGTGGCGGTCTGCTACCATAAGCAATAGCACTCCATAGCATAACTCCCACTGTGTGGTGAACAGATCGCCCTGTACAGGGTTTTAATGGTCGGTCCTCCTCCAGCAATGCAGACTCTACCAGAACTGCACCTAAAATTGGAAAACAAGATGAAAACTTAGCTATGCCAGATACCAGCTGCAACTCTACCATCCAGAGGCTGACGACTATCATTGAAAAGCAGGCCCACCAGTTACAGCAGCAGACCCAGCAGATTGCAGACCAGGCGGATCTTATCAAGAGCCTCAATCATAGTATTGTAGAAATTCGCTTAGTGACAGCCTTAAACGTAGACCTGAAAATCAGGATCCAATTGACGACGACGCTCTTTCTGATGTCAGCGTACGGTGCGACAGGTGCCGTTGGTAGTGGTGATACTGCCTAAAATCGAAAAATCACATGAATTATTCATTGAAAAAGAACTAATAGGCCTCTCAATTAAGGTTGAGGTTCAAAAGAATAATAAACTCATTGGCCAGTGTTACCGCTGCCAGAGGTATGGGCATGGGCACGCCCAGTCTTACTGTACAACGCCCCCCAAATGTGTAAAATGTGCACAGAACCACTTAACACATGTGTGCTCCCAAACAGTCCAACGTGCAGGCACACTCCTAGGAGGAACCCCGAAAGGCGCAATAAATCTCATGCTGAAATGACAGCCAAGCCTTCAGCTCCTGTCACATCAGCCGCAGCTCCTGCTTTGAACCCTCAATAAGTAGACCTGGCGACCCCGCTCAAGTCACTCCGTCAGAGATTACTGTGGATGATGTTTCGATACCATGGGCTAACAAAGCCGAATACTTAGGCCTTACACTCGACAAGGGTATGACTTGGCAATCACACATTGAACAACTAAAAATTAAATTCCAAATTACGTTTCGACAATTGTATCGTCTTTTATGTAGAACATCAACATTGATTTTGGCAATAAGATTCGGATATGCAAAACCATCATCAGACCTGCAATAACCTACGCATGTGCGGCTTGGTGCTTTTAAGCTAAGTCGTATATGCGTAAAGTTCTGCAGAGTAGAACTCTCAAAACAATAACTAATGCCCCATGATATGTATCAAACGATACCATCCATAGAGATCTTGACACCCCTACCTTAGGGAATTCATCATAGGTATGGCACAGCGGCGTTACCAGCAAGCGAAATCGCACAGCAACCCTTTGTTGCGTGAAGTAGTGGATTACACAGTCGAGGAGATACGCAAACATTCCAGGCCGCGACTGGTACTGTGAACAAAATTAAATTCATGTTTAGAGCTTTTAAAAACCAAAGACCCAAAGTTCAGTTCCGGACAAGTCAAAAATTTATATAGTAACAGTTCTTAGATCTATCACACCTCAAATATTTATATAAAACAATTCCTTTTCTTTCTCTCCTCGCTCCTACTTCCTTCCTTTCTTTCTCCCTCTCCTCTTTCCCCTACAACCTGTCTGGTTTCTGGGCCACCAAACCTGACAGACTGACGACAGACACTGACATTACAGTGGCTATGACCTAAAGGCTAAAGCCTTCCGGACCGCCTTGAGAAGCAACGACGAGTAGTAGGTGTGGTGAACGTGACGCTCTCTGTCAAATTGTGGGTCACGTCTTTCACCACGTCGGCTCTTACTCTTACCCGACCATCGTGCATGCCCAGTCAGAAGCGGGGTTCATCACTAAAGACCATCCGATTGCATTCTCTGTCCCATAGAATTCCTCCTCTACACCAGAGCAAACGATTGCGCCGATGTATAGCTGTAAGAGGTAGCCCCCAATGTGGGCGATAAGAAAAAAGGCCACACTGTCGTATTCGGCGATATACCGTACGCATACCAACCATCCTTCCATGCTCTTCAAACCGCTGATTAGCGATGGCTCGAGTACTACTGAATCTGTCTCTCAGAGCCAGAAGTCTTAACCGGCGGTCTTGTCGCTCTGTGGTGCCTCTGGGACATCCAGATCCCTCGCTCGCTGTCGTCGGTCTTTGTGAGTCGACGCCCGTTCACACTGCAGCTTATTGCGTAAGGATCTGTTGGTCCTCCTAGAAACTTCTCTTATTGATAGACCGGCTTCACGCAACCCGACAATTCGACCCTGCTCACTGTCACTTAGCTGGGATACACGTCGAATTCTACGCACTCTAAGCATTTTGAACAATCACAAAAATGCTTCTCAATAAGCTACACGAAATTTAACATTTAACTGACACCGTAAATGTACGAAAACTGAATGCTTCTTTATCACCAAACAATACACTCAGCCACCAAAAAAATCTGGCCGTTTTATCACTTGTTGTTCATGGCAAGATAAATCGATATGTAAAAAATTCTTGAATTCTAATAAACGTTGGTGTTCACCTTGTTTTCGAATCTCTATACTTATATGAGCCTGGAGAAAAATACTCGAAAGCTTTGGTGTTACACAGATGCGTAACATAATATAAATTGTATCTTCCACCTGGCCAATTAGGTAGAAGTTATCTGGCAATGAGCAATTTGTTAATGTCACATTTTATCTCTGCAAGTTCACAGAGGGAGGTGTCTTAGATATATATAGCTTCCATTATGTCTGAAGAACATTCGCTGGTAATTTTTATTGCCTGCTCAGCTTCGTTTCTGCGCGAACGGAAAAACTAAGTTCTTAACAGGTAATGGGGTAAGTTTTCCTCAAGCGAAGTTTGTATTTGTCAAGATTTTATGAGCAAACCATTTTTTATGTTGCTAATTTATGCCTGTTCAGAAAGTGCATTAATACTCTCCTCGAGCGTTTGTTTTGTTCTTAAGCTTTTGTACCATGAAATATTGTTGGAAACAAGTAGCTCTTAACTTGCGTGTAGCAATGAGAAAATATTGTGCGGCCTTTAACAGTATTACGTAAGCCTTAATCGTGCTGATTATACAGGATGATTAAAGACAGCGATATTGCTGGAGTAGAAAGTACGACTAAAAATAGTATTGATACACCTCGCACTTTTGTTCATTGTCCGAGAGACCAATCCTAGAACATGCTGATAAGTAGACAAAAAGCAGAAAACAGCTGTCCATAGTTGGCTGTCTTTGGTCGGACGTACGTTAACAGCATGTTTACTTAACGTTGATAGTTTTTTTAGACTTAAGCTCTAGATGCCTCTATATTGGGGCCTTGGGATTGTAGTGAAGAAACATGTCTTAGGGACATGTTACAAACACTTGTAGTGGCGGTAAGCAGCACATGAGAAAACGGCCAGTGGCTCCCTCTGTAAACTGATCCGATGCAATCTGAAGAAATCCGAGGCTTAGGGGCAATTCGAGAAAATCGGACTGTATCCAAGGAGATTTTTTGGTCCAGTGGAAGAAGATCCAAACAATCAAGCAGATCTTCGACCTCACCTGGAGGAG